GCAGCTGGAGTTCGGGGGAGGGCTGTGAAGGAGCGTTGGGTTGAAGGGGGAAGGGAGAACAGGTGCCTCAGCCCCAGGTTGGGAGAAGGCGCAGGGGAGCCAGAGAGCGGGTTGTACTCAGAGGGGGGAGCAGGCTGGGGAATGGGCAGTGGGCGTTCGGAGGAGGGAAGGGCTGGAAGCAGCAGCAGCAGCAGAACTGGATTAACCCAAATCCCGTCTGGGGTTTGGAGCTGAGGCCCCTCTGGCTCATGTGGGATCAGAACCACGTTGCCAGGGAAGGGGAGGGGAGACATGGCCAGAACAGCGCAAGATGGAGACAAACGACAGGAGAGACGCAGGAAGGGACCAGTGGAGTTTATTAGGGGACAGCGGCTCATTTCTGCACCAACTGCCCCCCTCCCGCCCCCAGCACAAGGTGAGGTGCTTCCCCGCACCATGGACTGTGTCACTTCCACTTAGTAGCACTCATCCGCCACCTGGGTGCCGTAGACCTCGACCTCACAGAGGGTGAGATACTCCACCCTGCCCGGGATGGTGACGGTGATGGTGACTTAACGGCCCTTCATCCCATTGCAGCAGATGGTGCTGAGGGATCCTGGTGTGGTGTCGGTGATGGTCCCGCAGCTGCAAAGAGCAGAAGACAAGAGCGAGAGGCTGAGATTAGGGGGCACAGGCGAGTTGGCAGCAGGACGGACGACCCTTTAACTCTGAGCCTGCAGAGGCCAAAGCACGGAGTGAATGACAGACTGTAAGAGACGGGGGGTGTCCCTGTTCCCGTCACAACCCAACTCCGACTAGAAATAAGGTTCACATTTCATCAGTCAAGGTCATTAACCGAGGGAGCAGATAACCGAGGACATGATGGATTCTCCTTCCCTTGGAGTCTTTAAATCAAGACTAGACGTCTGTCTAATAGATACACTGCAGCTCACGCTGAAATTATGGGCTCAGCATAGAATCACTCTGTGCAGTTTTCTGACCAGTGTGATACTGGAGGTCAGACTAAGTGACCGGAAATGTCCCTTCATGTCTTAGAAATCTATGGGTTCCAGGAAAATCCGTTCCTGTTGCCTTGGATGAGGTGATTCTAGGCACAGAGCAGCTATAAGGGCAGAGAAAGAACATGCAGGGGCCTGGAGAGAGATTAGCTCTACCCTGGATTGCCCTGCAGGGGTCGCTGTGCTCAGTGACGTGCGGTTCCCGTCCATCCAGGAGCTGAGAGCACGGCCAGCACCGCGCCCCCAGCCCCAGGTAGCTCCGAGGGGAAGAGACCTCACCCTGGCCCCGGCTGGCAACGATACCCCTGTGTCTGAGCTGGGAGGAGTCGTCTCACTCCCGGGGATGGGGAAGCAACTCACATGGGGTTCTGCTTGTCATGGTCGATCAGCGAGTCTCCCACGCGGATCTGGGCCCCCTTGAGTCTCTCTCCACAGCAGTCCTCCCTGTGCTTCACAATCACCATGGAGACAGAATACCGACTGCCCAAGTCCACGTTCCACCACGGATCTCTCTCATCCTGGGTGTGGCTGCAGGAGCCATGGTCCAAAATCCGATCGCATTTTCCATCCACGGCCTTTCCAGGCCCGGCTTTTTCAAGCCCGTATTCCTTGTGTGTGGAGGATTGAGAGACCGTCTGCTCCCGCGCCAAGTTATAACCTGAAATCAAAGGGCAGGAAGAGGAGAAGTGGGACATGCCCCTTGCTAGGGTACAGGGGCGCCGGAACAAGGGGGAGCAGGGGAACATGGCCCTCCCATTTTTTACTGGCTGTAAGGACAAGTAACGGGGAGAGGGCAGAGCCTTGGAGGGGAAGAGGCTGTGCAGGAACAGAGACTTGGGGGAAGGGGTGGCATGAGGTGGGGGTCTCAGTTCAGGGGCTGGTGCCCCCCCCCACCTGTTAGGAAGCTTCCGCCGCCTCTGCTAGGGGGGCTCTAGACACCCGGTATCCCACACAGAGCCAGAGCCACTTCCCGGCAGTGACACACAAACCAGGCACTGCATGAAAGCCAGGTTCACAGTGGGAGCCATGGCCCCCGGAGACAGGAGTGACAGCAGGTCTGTACTGGGGTCTCAGCCCTGGCTGAGCCCCTCTCAGCCTCCCCACATCCCATACCCAGCTGGAGCTGCTCCCCAAGGCAGGGATGGGGCAGGATGTTCAGATGGAGCCCCCCCTGTCTGCCCCTGCCTGCTGGAGCCCCTGTCCAGCTCAGTGGTGGGAAGGGAAGAGTCTCCCAGGGTTTCTGCTCTCTCACTAGGCAGAGGCTGAGGCAGAAGGGAATGGGGTATAACAAAAAAGGGAACAAGTTTCCATTCACATTGTGCCAGCTCCTTACCCCCTGGTGCGGGGTTGCATTGCTGAGACACCCCAGTCCCTGCAAGGATCCCAATCGCCATTAGTAGATGCCAGAGAAACTCCATCCTTGCGCTGTCAACGTAGAAGATCCCATGAATGTTTTATTCAGAATGAACTACAGCCATAGCAAGTTTCAGATGAGCAGTTCATACATGCCGGATGGTTCTAGAAGTCTAAATAATAAGATGGGTGAACTAGAGTGCCTTGTGATAAAGGAGGATATTGACATAATAGGCATCACAGAAACCTGGTGGACTACTC